TTATTATATTTAATTAATGTAATGCTAAAATATGTATATTAAATATATAATTTTAAATAAATAGATTCATATTAAAAACCTATTATAAAATAAAATATAATTATTATAAAATTTATATATATACCCGCACGTTAATTTATATTATATATATTGACGTATACATAAAAGTATAATATAATTTAATTTATAATTTTTATTTTATTTATTATTTTAATAAACTAGTTTAAATTTATTTAAATATTTTACAGTTTTCAATTCGGTAAATGAATGATAATGAACTTAAAAATATTTTGAAATGTATTTAAATTAAAATTATATTTTTTTATGAATAATTAAATTAAAAGTATTTTTTGAAATCGTATAATGATAATTTAGTAATGTTAAGTTATTTTAATAAAAAAATGATAATATAATACTTGAAAGTTTAAGGAATAAAAATATAATTTACTATATTTTAAAATATGCATGGTGGATAATGTAATACTAACATCTCTGAGAAAAAAGTAATATAATTTACGTTAAAGGTATTAAATTAAATGATTAAATTGTATATTTTAAAATAAGAAGAGATGAGAGTGTGATACTTTTATTTCTTAGGGAAGGATAACATAGTTTATTCTATATTTTTTCCACAAAACTTTTCCTAACATTAGTGATACTCTTTTCTTTCTCGGGATAAAAAAAGAGAGAAAGAGTTTGATTAATGTTACCAATTATTTACTGAATCAAGAAAAATAACTTAAATTGAGGATTTTTTAAAAAAAAAATGATTAATATAAGTCACATTTAAAATTAGTTCTTATAAATGGGCCAAATAACATTATTGATATGATAAAAAAGAATGGAAAGAATAAATTGTTAGAGATTAAACTAACGTTAATGCTAATATATTTAATCATTTGATTTAAGTTGAGTTCGTACCTGTCGCTGCATTATCGCCTTTACAGTGGTGTTAAGATCTTTGTGGAAAAGCAAACCTCCACTTGTAGTCGGCCCCGTCTGAATTCCCTGGAATGATTCTGCATATATGACTCTCTCAGAGAAAAACTTCATATTGAAGCATTGCTCTATATGAACTGTTATCAAAGACGTTAATTTCAGAGTGTGATTGCCCGAGTAGAAGCATAACAAACTTCGTAAATCACACAAAACAATGGTGTTGAGTCTCTTAAATTTAATGGCTTCTGAAGTTGCATTGCTCTCTTTAGCCATAATTTCTTTCATTGATTCACATCCCACCACCTTGATCTCCTCTAGGTTCATCAACTTTTCTGCTGCTGAAGATGTAAATAAACACTGCAAGTTGGGACAGTTGAAAATAGACACTTTTTTTAGAAAAGAGAAAGTCGCTGTAGAAGTAGAATGTATTAATGTTGTCAAATCATGACATCCGACAACATTCAAGTCTTGGATATTCTCAAAGATTGTGTTTCTCCATGATGAGTCCTTTGACTTGATGAACTGGAGCTCAGATACTTGACGAAGTTCCAATATTTTTAACTGTCCAAGCATTCCCTCATCAATTTTGTGGTTTGCAGCAAAGAATATCTCGGGATTACAACGACGGCTTATACTCATTTTCATTAAATTTGGTGTCTTTCGGAGTAATTCAATGAGCCATATAGGCCTCTCATTCTTAACAGCGCCAAAGTGCAGGCTAATTTCATTTAAATATTTGAGGCCTTCCATAAAATCCCCTGACCTAAACCTTAAGCTTGATTCCAAGATGTGTTTCCAATCAAGTCTCAATTCTTTCAAGTTGGAAATGACCTAATATGTCAATGCAAAACATATCGGATAGAAAGGAGAGTGAATTAGAATAATAAAGGAGAAAAAAGTTGTGAGTAAAGATTCTATCAAGCTTACCTTTAGATTTGAAGAACTCGTACCTTCACCTTCACTCTCACCCATGAAACGTGTGGTTTGAAATAATTCTAACTCATCACAATCCAACACTGATAAAATTTGTAAGGCGGGGCATTCGAGAGTGAATGTTTGAGGGTAAAAGTAAGCGAGTTGTGGCATGCCAGAAAGATCCAACTTCTCTAGAAGGGGGAACACAAATTGTTCTGTTTTGTTTGTTGGAGTGTCTTCTTCCCTTTGAACAATTTCTTGCAATTTATGGCAAGATCCTATTTCAAGTTTTCTAAGCTTCTTTAGATGTTTTGCTTGGGAAGTAGGAAATAAAGTTTGAAGGTTCTCACATTCCCTAACAACGACCTCTTCCAGATTTGGAAACACGGAAAGAAGTCCTTCACTATTTTTTCCCCAAACATGCCTCAGCCCCGATAGCTTTTGAAAAGTCAATTTCTTCAATCGGGATGGTGTTCCCATAATTTCTGTGTCATTCATATAAAAAATGACCTCTACTTTGTTGTTATTTCCTACTTGCACTGCTTCTAAGTTGTTTAGAAGATGAAGAATAACAGATGGAATTACATATGGTAAAATCCACTTATCCAGATTCAAAGTTCCTAAATTGCGCAACCATTGGTTTTGTATACCAACAGAAACATTACCGACATGGTCTGCTTGTAGCCAAGAATCCGAAGAATATCGAGTCTTGAGAATGGCGTCAAAAAACTCCTGTAAATATTACAATGAGTACATCATCACATATTTCATATCGATTAATGCTTGCTCTGCGTCATTGTTTCTGCCTATAAACTACGTCACCTTTTCGTTTTAGCATCTTTAAATTGAAGGGAAGAACTAGATCATGTAATAAGATGGATCAGATTTAGAGAGCACTTACAAAATATTTCAAAATTATATTATTTCTATAATCCATGAATAATTGATTGTTACTATAATCATTTTTAATTAAAATGTATTATTATTTTGATAAGTTTGTTAAAAATAATTTTAAGATATTTAATTTCCTTTGAATAAAAAAAACTGTAGTAAATAAACTTTTTAAAAAAATGTTGAAAAATAATAGTAAATATTAGTTTTTGAGTTTCATAAAAATAAAAAATGTTCACAAATTTAAGTTAAATATTTATTTTGCAAACAATTTAAAAAAAAATACAGTTCAAATGGGAGATTATAAATTTTTCTGAAGAGTCGAATCTAAATGGTAAATCATGATTTTCATTCACAATGGAGAATATTGTATTAACTGGGGTAACACGGCTTGATGAAAACTTAATTTAAGAAATTTTAACTTATATCATAAAACGACTTTTGTTTTAAATTTAAAACATTTAATTTTATTTTGAAAGTAACTTTTAAATTCTAAATAGACCAGACCATACACTATATAAATAGAAGACAATAAAAAAGGAACTACTTTTAATTTTATTTTATAATAATGTCGTAAGACTTCATCTTACATTAATCTAATTCAGTTAAGAGATAAGGAAAGTTTGATTAAGAATTACTCCCGTCAAGAATCGAACTCTTGTGCCTGAACAATTCGACCGATCTTAATAAATTTGTAATTTTATCAATAAGTTTATATATAATTTTCAAACAAAGCTAAAAACTTAATTCCCGAGTTACATTCCTAGTTTCCTACTCATGAATAAAAGGTAGAGAGCTATACAATTATTACTCCCTTTTTGAATATTATTGCGAAGTATGCCTCATTTAATAGAATTAACGAAAAGAGATATGCCTTTCAATTTTCATACTCTTTTTTGTTGTTGTTAATTTTGATGTAACATTTTTTTATCTATTGGAATTGAATTGGATATCAGAAAAAAATTACAATAATTTATGCAGTCTGCTTAATTAAGAGATCTAAGTCTTCTTGATACACTATTAGTATGAAGATTTTTATATCGTATTAATAAGAAGTCATTTTAAATATAGCTTTTAAAGTAATTTACTACAATAATCAATAATTTGTAATTATATAATGATTCAACAACTTAAGAGATTTTTACGCCACCAGTAACGTATTCTAATAACATAATTTTAGTACATTACTTTTACCTTTTTTCTTTATTTAAAATTAATTTCAAATTAGCACACTATAAATTTTTTATTATTAAAAACTACTATTTTTAATCAGTTGATAGAATAATAAATTGTAATTCTAATTTTTACACTAAAGTACGTGCCTATTAAACTGCAAATAAAAACCTTCTGACTAATAAACTAATTTTTAATTTTTTTTTATAAAAATTTAAATTAAGACAAGACACATACAAACTTAGATTTAATCTCTTTAAATTCACATAATGATAATTTAATTTTGCAGAAAAATCTTGAAAAATAACCCAACACTAGGAACTATATCATTAGCGTTGGGTGTTCATGAAGACCAATAAAGCGCTAGCCGTTTCCTCAAGAGAATTAGGCATTGAGATGATCAAGAGTTGTAGTGGTTGCAAATTGGATTGGATTTGAAACATTTATATCCAATCCTATCAACTCTAATTTATTTGGATTGGTTCAATTTGATTCATTTTTTAGTTTATAATTTGAACCAATCTAATCATATTTAATTTGTTTTGGGTCGAATCATTAATTTATTATTAAAATAATAAAAATTATAAAAAAAAAAGACATCACATTAATCAACTATAAAACACATTGTCATGTCATTAAGTCCAACTGATAAAATATTAATGTTACAAATTTGTTTCTCAAGATTAAAAAATATCCTACCTAAAACATTTGAATGAATTTATTTTTCACTAAAACCCCAAAATCACATATTCACAGCCAAACCAAATTTAATAATAATAATAATAATAATAATAATAATAATAATAATAATAATAATAATAATAATAATAATAATATAGGATATTTATTTAATTGAATGAATTGATTTGGTTTGATTCTTGGAAATCAAAATTCGAGATCCAAACCAAACTAATTGGATTCTTTATTTTATAATTTAAACCAATTCGATAGTTCGAATCAATCCGGATTTTTTTTTTCGGTGTGGTTCGGATTCATTGAATAATCGGATTGATTTGGATTCATGTCCACTTCTACCACAGAGCTACTATTTTAGAGCGGCCAGCAAGTCAGTGTTATACATCATATTCTAAATTTTCTAGCTAATGTTGGGCGCTGAGAAGTAAGGCTGGTGGTCATTGAACGATGTAAATCAGGGTTTCCTTTTGATCTTTTGACAAAAGAAAAATAAAAGACATTCTATGGTTTTGGAGGAGCCATGTACTGGAGATTTGAAGGGAATAAAAGATCAAAAGGAGTTCTTAGTTTCTTCTATGGTTTTAGGACCTTTAGGTTGAACTTGATGAACTGGTATCGGATCCTTATGCAGTGATTTTTATCCGAGAATATTTCAAGTTCTTTTTCTATGACTTAATGTTTCTTTAGTTTATTGTTATAGAAATTGATCCCATGTTTATGCAAAAGTTAGGCGTATAGGCTAGAACTGAAATTGTTTATTATATATTTGGCTGTATATAGGAATAACACATTGAATCTGCGAGGTTCTTGGAATCTTGGTGAACTTATCTCTTTGCTTAACAAATTTAGGTATTGTCTAAGGAACTGATATACTACTTTAGGTAAAGGGATTCAAACTGAAGGAATAGGTTTAATATAATTTCGCAGATTCAGACTACAACTTCATGGATTAACTTGTATTAGATGATTGGATTCAGTTGCATAGGGAAACAAGAAAAGGGATTTGTACCCTAGTTGCTTCTAATTCTTGCATTTCTAATCATTGCAACAATTCTATATTTTCAACTATTTTCTCCCCGATCAATTTATTTTCTTTGCTCGAATAGTTTAAATTAATATTTGGTATATACCACATTCTCCATGTACTAATATTCTACGTACCACTTGAATTTATTACTTGACATGATCAATGCACATATTGCAATTGAATGTTTTGATTTTCATAAGTTTATATACCTATCAAACCTTCATTATTAGTATGTTGACCTAGTATTCTTACATGCATGGTTGCATTATTTTCATTTACTGCACTCGATTATCTTCAATCAATGTTGCTCAGGAAAATAGTATCATTTTTTTGTAGTAGTTAGTGCAAGGATTTTCTATTCCAAATTCGTATAGTTTGTATCAATAATCAATAATAGAAATAAAAAGGAAGTATCTTCTTCTTGTCCTTTATGCTAGAGTGAGAGTGGATTCCATTAATGTCAATCTAAAGACATAAAGAGGTGTTAATTAATAGGTAATTCAAGAATTTTATTGTTTTTGTTCTTTTATTTCAATTTTCAGTTGATAAATCTATGATACATGGAGATTTATTGAGTCTTTTGCAATATACTGAAAACTTTCTAAATAAAATTAATGGTTAAAAACATTGTGTTCATGCAATAATTGAAGTAATAATGGATTGATTTGAATAAAGTTCTTACCTGTTGTTGGAACGTCCCCTTCACAGGGGTGTTAAGATCGTGGTGGAAGAACAAATATTCCTCATTTGGATCCAACGAGACTTGAATTCCCAAATCGTATTTGGCATCTATGAGTCCTTGGGAGAAAATCTTCATGTTGGGGCATTCCCATATGATCACTCTTATCAGAGATGATAATAGCAGTGTGTGACTGCCTGAATAAAAACATGACAGGCTTGATAAGGAATGTAGAATTATAGTGTTGAGTCGCTCAAATCTTATCACCTCTAAAGTAGTTTCTTCTAGCCCTTTTGCCAATATTACTTCCACTAATTCACATTGCATTATGGACATCTCTTCAAGATGAACTAACGTTCTTGCAGTTGAGGATGTAAATAAGTACTTCAATTCTTGGCAATCTTTTATAGATAATTGATTTAGATTGGAGAATGACAATGCAGAATGTACTAATGTTGTCAAACGAGGACACGAGGAAACACATAACTTGTGCAGACAGACAAGGGACAAGGTCGTCGAGTATCTGTGCACTGTGGTGTCACTGTCACTTTGTTCAGGTTGAGAGGGGAACAACTCAAGAAAACTGAATCCACTTATTTTAAGACACTCTAAATTGGATGGCTTCACAAGTATCTTCACAAGTATCTCAACGAGAAAACTCGGTACCTCCTGGACATCTTTAAAATCCAGCTCAAGTTCAACTAATTTATGAAGCATGTCTCTCAGAAAATTTTTGTTGCATAGCAATAGCATCCTAGTGTTTTCCCAATCGAGCTTCAGTGACTCCAGAACGAAATTAGTCTAGTAAGGGAAGAACAAAATGACAACCAAGGGGCAAGGGGTGAGAAATAGGAAATAGAATATAACTTTAAAAAAAAATATATATATAAAAGCAGATTTGGTTACAAACCTTTCCTTCCGAGAAAAGGGGTTGCTTATTAACTGAAGTAGAGGTTTGTGGCTCTTGTTGTTGATTTTGAAATGTCTTCAATTTATCACAAAACAACACCTCTAAATGATTTAAGTCAGGGCATTCCAGAGTAAATCTTCCAGGATAAAAGCAGGTGAGTTGTGGCAACATACACAGATTCAGTGAGGTTAAACGAGGAAATGAAAATTCTGTTGTTGCTTCGGTAATAGCATTCCCCTCTTCAACAATTTCTTGAAACATTTCACACTGCCTTATTTCAAGTGTCTTGAGTTTCTCAACTCTTATAGCTTGCTCTAAAGGAAATAGAGTTTTCAGCCTTTCACAATGAGTAACAAGTACTTGCTGCAAATTTAGAAAACTGAGCATTACTTCACGATCCTTATCCCATACTTGTATCAATTTTGGCAGGTCAACCAAAGTCAATTTCTTCAACGGAAAGGGATAATCCTTCAGCTCTGTCTCCTGCATACCAAATATTACTTCTACATTGGTGTTACGTACTTCCAATTCCTCTAAGTTTTTTAAACTAGGGAAAACAGCAGTTGGAATAGCATGCGATTCAAGTTCACAATTAACCAGCTTCAAAATCTTCAGTCGAAGGCTCTCGAGTGCTCCATAAGCATTGGAAGCGACCATGTGATCTGGATCGAGAGCCTGTAAATATTGTAAATAACTTCGTAATTAGGTAACAGAATAACAAAATAATAATTGTCAGCTAAAACAAGATGTGAAAATCAAGAAACCAAAATAACAATAGCCAAGTGTGAAGACGCACCGGGACTCCCACTCTTAACAATAAATACCAAATGCCTGGCAATACTTCATTACAATGCTTTTACTGTTGACATCTCTAGAATCAAAATAATTGCCAAATAATTTATTTTACCAAAATAATTACTTTTTGAGACAAATCTTAAAAGAAAAATGATTGGTATTTACTTTATAGGTGTATATACCTTGTGAAAGACAAGGAAAAAAAATTAAAAGATGTGCTGAGTGATGTGTGACAAATACAAAAGATAAAAATAAAAATGAAGCATAAAATAGGTGAAAATGTGTATGGATATTGTTGATCTTAAAAAGATAATTTTTCTAAATGTCATTAAACTAAGTATATACAATTTTGGATGTACCACCTCATGGTGAACAAATGTGAAAAAATGAGAAAGTAAGAAAACATTCAGGGTTGATTTGGATGAAAGTACCTTATAATTAAAGTAACTCTAAATTTATGATAAATAAAAAGTTCAATGATAAAATATCGTATAATAAAGCCACGGGTATATGATTGAATCAAGTGCAAAGTGATTTACAAGGCCGGAATGCTGGATAACATCTAACAAGACTAGACCTTGCATATTTACATAGTATACAACTCAATAAACACATAGAAAACACCATATTTAAATTTGGAAAATGAAGAAAAACCATGAGAAAAGCTCCAAAAAGAATATATTATTTTACATACACAGGTTTTTATACTGTATGCCCAAGGATACTTGTTAAAAGTTAAATAATTTTTTAAAATGAAAAATAAAATATTTAATATATCATATTTTAACTTAAAAAATATAGATACTGATGGATTCATTAAAGGAAATAAATTCTTCTTAATGTCTGCCAAATTTATCAAACATGAAAAGTTAAATAAACCTATGAAACTGAACTAAATTCAAATACAAAAAAGAAGAATGGTAGTAAGTGAAAAGTTTTTATGAAGAATATTACTAACATACTTTACTGTAATTTAAATTCAATTCAACCATAATATTTGATAAAAAAAATATTTAATATTTTTTTAATAATTGTTAACAGGACCTCATAAAAATATATACTGCAAAGAAAATAAAGAACTCGTCAGTAATCATCAATAGTAGATACGTACCCGAGTCTGGTACAAGTCATTTATCGTGGCATTTAAATCACCTTTGCAATAATATATTTTTTCCTCCGTTCCATATCTAACACATATTTGTCGCAAAATTGGAGCCTCGTCTTTTTCAGAAAAGGTGAAGCTTTTCATTTTGCCACATTCACTCGCTACAACTTTTTCCAACGATGGAAACTCAAAGGCGTAATGAATGGAACTATTAAACCTTTCAAGTGAATGAAGTGCTACGAGTTCTATTTCCTTCAATTGTCTGAAAACAATTGCTGGCTTTGTTTCCATCAATACTCTGTTAGTAGTACTAGCCTTTTTTTTCTTCAATAGTTCGTTAATAATTTGTTCTTCATTTTCTTGCTCTAACACAACGGTCTTCATTGATTCACATTGAATTACCTTCATAGTGGTGAGTTGAACCAAGCTTTTTGCAGTTGATGGTGTTATTAAATATCTTAATTTATTACAATTACTCACTTCCAGATTTGTCAAGTAAGTGAAAGATATTGAAGAAGGCGCAAGGGTGTCTAGACATGGACATTCCTCTAAAATCAAATATTCTAACCTTTGAAAGAGAACTCTGTCTTCTTCAAAGCCTATCATCTTAAGTGAACGTAAGTTCATTAACTTCAAGCTTTTGAGCTTCGGAACAACCCCCAAATTTTCTTCAGCAAAGCGTCTTGGATGCACTAATTGCTCAAAGAAACAATTACTCATCAATAGGCTTTTTAGATTAGGATTTCTGTGGAGGAAAAAATATAGAATCTCACAATCCTGTAATCTAGATAGTTGAAACTCTTCTAAGTTGTACATCCGGTAGTCCCCGATATATGTCTTTAACAAATCTGCATTGTGTGGCTCTATTTGCATGGACTTCAAGTTGTAGATTTCCTAAGAAATGATGCATGAAATAAAGGTAAGTTAAAGTAAAAGATATGAACGTGGATCTTCAATGTAATTGAGTAATTTGTTTTATTTTCTCCTGATATAATGTCATTCTATCTCTATGAATTAGAAAAGATGCATAAGAGCTAAAAGACTGATTAGTACCTCTTTAGGCAAGAAGACTGGATTTATTTCTGGATTTTCCTTTACTTTTCTGAAAAGTTCGAGCTTCTGACAAAGTTCTACACACAAGTTATTCAGTGTTGAACAACAAAGTTTATGCTCATCCCCATAGAAACTCTCAAGGTTCGGTAGATTTGAAAATCTAACGGTGGTTAGTTTGGGAAATTCAAATGAAACGCTACTCAAGTTGTTTGTTTCTCCCATGGAAACAATTTTTTCCAGCTGACCACAATTTTGGACCTCAAGGTATTCAAGTTTTTTAAGACCCTTGGCCAAAGAAACTGGAAATATATGTTTTAATTTTACACATTCCTGAACCCATATCTTTTTCAAATTTTTGAAGTTAAGAATCTCTTCTGGGTCTTTGTTCCATACATGCTCCAAATTTGGCAGATTTTTTACAAGAAGATTTTGCAAGTTGGTCATATCCTCAGCATCAGGTTTTTCGCGACCTTTAAGGTCAAATATCTCTTTCATCGACTTGCAATTAGTAACGTTCAAGTTGCATAGACTCCGAAATTTGCCAACCATGTAGGAAGGAAAAACATTTTCAAGTTTATTACACTCCTCAATGATCAATGCATCTAGTTTTCCAAAGGAATGTAAAGGAAATTCGGCCCATATCTTTCTCAATCTCTTCATGTTTCTCAAGTTGATATTCTTCAACTTTGGAAAGATGCTTTCCTGCTTGGTTCACAATTGCCATAAATTTATTTAAATTAACAGCTATATTAGAGAAAATCAAAACAAATCAATAAATAACGAGAATAAAAAATAAAACATTATATATATATATATATATATGAGAAAATCAAAACAAATCAATAAATAACGAGAATAAAAAAGAAAATATTATATATATACATCCGAAGTCAAATGATTTTTGGTATAACAATATTGTGACCCCTATGACTGGTATTTGAAAGGTCATATACTGTCATAGAATTTGAACATAAAGATTTAGGACATGAAATACTTGCATATCACATTCAGGATTTTGTATAAGGGTTTCATTATCATCATATCAAACACACAAAATTTTAAATTTTCTAATAATATTAAAGATAATTTGGGTATTAGCTAGCCACGTATCAAAATGAAGGTATACCAAAGATTATTGAAAGATGTTGTAATCCCACCAACATACCTCATTGACGATTATACTAGCTTCCTCAAATATGCTCTCCATCATCCCACATTCACTAACGAAAAGGCTTTGAAGATTCATCAGACTTTTGGACATGGAAATGGAAAGTAGGTAATGCAAATTCCAACAATCATTCACATATAAGTGGATCAAATTTCGAAAGCTTGTTAAAGATTGGTCACTCCATAAGTTTGTTATGTTGATTGAAGACAGCTCCATTCTCTCTAATTTGGAAACTATCACCTGCCACGACAAACATATATAACTAGCGTCTCAAAAATCAAAGAATTTATTTTGTTTTTTCTCAATATACCATGCCTATAGGGAAAAGGAAAGGAATGGTTAGATAGAGAAGAATAAATAGGTCACCAACAATATATTTTTTAAGTCACTCAAACTCTACCTTCTTGATTTTAACATCTAGTATCAAATATATGAAAGTTCAAAATAAAAAGATAAAGCAAATCAACATGTGACTATTTTGGGCACACCTTTTCACCAAAGAGTGCATTGGGCTTCCTACTTTGCATTTGCTCTCCTGTTGATGCGCCATCGATGTAAAATCCAACAAATTCAGACAAAGATTATAGCATCAAAAAGCGCAATTCAGGAAACTTAATTTTATCGCTATCTCTTTCCAAGGTAACAATCTCCTTCAAAGAGTTACACTCAGAAACTTCAATTGTTTCAAGTGCAAAAAGATGTTTGATCATAGAAGAGAAGAAGACATTTTTTAATTGACCACAGATATTCAGCTTGATAATTTTCAATTTGCAAAATGAATCATGTGTAAGTTGACCCTGACACATATGCTCCATGCTATTGACGTCATAGAGAAACAACGACTCTAATTTAGGAAATGCTTTTTCAGGATGTTCCTTGTTCTTTGAATGAATAATGGACTTAACTTTCGAGTTACTTACAATGGACAAATATTTTAGATATGGAAATCCATCATAATTCAATTCATAGAAAATATCTTCAACATCCTTTAGTTGTCCCAACAACAAATTTTCAACTCTTCCAAATAGTATTTTGATCTCCTTCTGTTGATGAATGTGAAAGCCATTTTCGAGCTGAAGTGCCAAATATCTTGATGCTTCAGACATCTCTAGCATCTTGAAATCCCACACCGAATAGGCATTCAAATATTCTCTGATGATGATCTTGTAGCTATCCAATTTGTCAAAGAACAAGTTGTTAGGCAAAACGGTAATTTTTGGGATCTGTATGACCAGTGTTGTTAACTGATCCAGTTGCCTCAACTCAGAAAGACTTGCCTTTCCACTTTGATTTCCTTCTCCTTCATCTTTCCATTGAATTGGGCTATTTCCAGCATACAACTCTTCCAAACTAGTCAAACTTGAAAACATTTCAGCAGGAATCTTTAGCAATTACTGATGTCAAAAATTTGTAGCTTAGTTAACTGCCTCAATTTAATAGGCAAATTATTAACATCAGATCCTGATAAACTAAGAACTCTTAATGTCTCCAAGTGTCCAATGATAGCTAAATCCCCACCTAGCTTGCATTGCTCTAAACAAAGCATTCTGAGATTCTGTAAGCATTTAATTGATGAAGGTAAGGATGATTGACGAACGCCAATCAATATCAACACTCGAAGTTCTTTCATTCCATTAAAAAAATTGTGTGGTATTTCCAAATGTGGATCTTTATTGTCAAAATGGAAGACTTTAAGTCTAGAACAATTTATGCTTCTAGGAAACTTCTTCATGATGTGAGTTATATCACAATGTTGTAAGGAAATAACCGTGTACCTTCTAAGCTTGTCCTTGTCGGGCCATTCATCTAGCTTTTGCTTTGAGAGAGCAAATGAATGCATCTGCTGGGACGCTATGGACAAAGCCGCAGCACGGGTAATATCTTGCATGGTGAAACGATCACTTGAAAAACTATCAGCCAACAAACTTAACTCTTTCAACTTTGCAACCAACGCATGTACTCTAACTCTAGCTTCGCTTGCAGTGTGAACTCCTTGAAGTATGCCCAAACCAATGCAGTATCTCACCAAGTCAGTAATTAATGCATCATGACCCATACGAGCACAAATTAAGAAAGTGTGCTTGAGCTCATCATTTTCTAGAAGACCATAACTCAGCTTTGTGGAGAACTCTGGCGTTGTTGCTTGTTAAGACAAGCAATGGGCAGCGGAAGCATAAAACATAAAGAGTATTCCAACTCATAAAAACTTTGCTGATAGATAAGCAATGGATTAAGGTCAGTTTTTCAGCAACCGTCTCAAGTATTTTTTTTTTTTTTTTTTGAACGGCAAATGTTAATGGTTAGTTTTTTAGTTTTTGGTGGGGGGAT